GCCCAGATTTAAAGAAAATATTTGTACTAAAACTCATACAGGGATTATATCAGATCCAGAACATATAACTTCTCCTACAAATCTATAAGACATTTGACCCAATGGAAAAATAGGCAATAAATGTTTATTTTGTGAATAAGCACTTCACAAAAGAAGATATCCCAAAAGCCAACAAACATGAAAGGGTTTAGTCTAATTATTAGTCAGAGTAATGCAATTAAAATCATGAGATCATTATATATCCACCTGAATGGTTAAACTTTAAAAAAATGACTGAATAAATATTGATGAGGATATGGAGCAATAAAAACTAATACACTCACTCTGGACAACTCTGGCATTATCTATTAAACACAAGCACGCTCCCAGCAACCCCACACGTAGGTACATGCCCAACCAAAATGCAAGCACAGGTCAACCAAGGCACATCTATAAAAATCTTCTGTGAGCATTTGTAATAGTCAAAACCTCAAAGCCCACACACAATGTCCATCAACCACAGAATAGAAAAATAAATTATGGTATAATCAAGCACTAGAATACTATATAAAAATGAAAATGAATTATAGCTACATGCAACAACATAAAAATCTCACAAATACATTGAGCAAAAAAAGTCATACATAAAAAGAGTATAATTTTTCATATATATGAAGCTCAAAACCAGGCAAAACTACACTGAAGTGTTAAGAGAGTAGTTACCTTTTTTGCAGGGGGAGGGAGCTTATGAATTGTGGCAATATTCCCAGTCTTGATCTGGTTATTAATAGTAGTGACCCAGATGTCTGCTTTGTGGTGATTTATGAGTTGTGCATTTATGTTTTGTACCCTTTTCTGTATTTCTGTAATACAGTTAACAAAAACCAAAAATCTATGAAATGTCATTGTCTTGTGGATATTCATCTAAAAGACTAAGCCTATCTCGCATTCCCCAAAATATAATTTAAAGTGAAATCTCTCAAGGTAACGGTAGAATTAGGTTTTTCTAGTTAGTATAGGTAACTATATTGGAACCAGATGTATTTGCTTAATTCTGGATATGTTCTATATGAAACAGATTCTCAGAATGAAATTAAGAACAAAGAACGCTCCAAGCTTGCACATCAGATATAATTCTAAAATGTATGCAACAAACATCTGTGGTTTTTTGGTGAAGACTATCATTGTCATATATATCCTGTAAGAATCTAGAACTATAGTTTTTAATTGTTTTTTGGTGACTTTCCAAATTCTTTTATGATGTTATAATAATGAATGTTAAATTAGATTCATATAAAAAAAAACCCTGTGTCTCTAATATTAAAGTATGGTGAAATAATGACATGTTACTAATGAGTCAAATAAAATTTATGAGTTTTGTAAATCAGTAAAACCTTAAAACATCATCTAAAACAAATAGTGCAACCTACTTGAACTTATCAAGAGGATTTCGAAATAGAAGCACACAACATTAAGAGTTCTCTGGTGGCTCCAGAAATATCCTTAAGTGGATTAAAAAACCATCACCAGAATTTAAAAATCAAACACAACTTTTTGCCACGATATAATCCTATTCACTCTAAGCTTTCTTTAACTTTGTAATTGAGAGCTCAGCTATGCTACTGCAGGAGCTACTCAGGGATTTATTCCAATGGCATTATTTTTATTACACTCTTATGAAAAATTACTAAACTGATGTTTTTGCAACAAGTTTTAAAAAGAGTGTCTATTACTCATAGTGTATATAACACATAGGAAATGCTGATGTGCATAGCTACTTCTAAAAAACATTTCTCCAGGATCTAAGAGTGTCTATTTTATTGTAGTACCATACAATTTTACAGAAGAAATTAGATGATGTAGTTTAAAGAAATGCTGATCAAGAATATAATTTTAAGCAAACTCTTTTCCACATAAATGTTACACCTTCAAAGATATAAAGAAATGATACCTTCCTCCCAACTTTGTTCTAGTAGTCTGGTAAGGCACATAAAAGTTATTCTAATTTTCAAAATAGGAATAAGACAATGTATTTTACAGATAAACATAGACTCAAAACTCAGTTATCTTCAATTCTTTTATTTCTTTCTTCACTACACCAAGCTAGTTCTTCATGTCTAAGATACATTACGATGGACTAGGAAAATTTAAAAGGATGTTGATTTTAAGTTTTTTACTAGTCTTTATTCAGGGAAATAAAGTAGCCATTATCGTTAAGCACATTTTCTAAGATGGTGTATAATCATTTATAGGTTAAGACTTTGGTATTTAAGATATTAAACTTTATACATTTAATTACTAATATAATAAACCCACATCCTCAACTTTATATTGGTTTTAATTCTTTTCATAGTATGCAGTCTTGAATCTGATGATGAGAAGCACACAATCATACCCATCACAATCAATTTCTTAAAGTTGTCTAGATACCTGTTTCAGACACTTGGGTTAAAGGGTTGAAAGCAACTGCATTACACTACATTTATAAGCAAACCAGAAAACTTTATTTGGAGTAGCAGTTAAGAAAGCAGCTTTTTATGGAGATTGAAAAAGAAAGTAGAAGTAGTATAAGATAATAGCTACCCCTTAAGAAATAATAAATAGTGTAATAAAATCTTTCATAGAAACTTATTAAAAAGGAGGCAACATCAGTTTAGCATTTGACAGAAATGAAAAGAAGAATCTGGCCTAATAAATAGACCTTGAATCAGTATACTTTCTAGTTACAAATGTAAATCTTCAAAGTACACATATTAAGTACAAGACAACCAAATATAAAATAGTGTTAGATCATCCTTTATGTTCTTAAAAATGAAAACAGGTAATATACTTATGAATCCTTCATAAAATGCCCCTTAAATGATAACAACTTCAAAGGTACCTTGACTATCTCAGAGAATACCACATTTTGCAACTCCTATTCATCTATTTACATTCATCATAAATAAGTAACCATGACAACAGAATTAAAAATTCTGCTTAAAGAAGATTGTTGCTCTTCCCAACTTTTACTTCAAGTTGAATCCCTATTAAAAGTAATACTCAGATGAACTTCCCCTTTCAAAGCAGTACAAACTAAAGGCATTAAATTAGTATCTAAAATCAAAGTATAGCTTTATCTATAAAACTATGTGTCATATCCTTACACGTGGCAGCAAAGATAATATAAAATGTGCTCAGACACTAATGCCATTATGAACATAAAAGGTATATGTTCATATATATATTTTCCCAAACGACCAACTTAAAATCCAATTTTTAAAAATTGACTAATGCACCATCAGGCAGATGTTCAAATGTTGAATTTTAAATTCAGCACTACCTTATCTCTCCTGAAAGATAAGTTGTTATACAAACATTACAAGTACAATACGTTAAAAACAGAACAAAACAAAGCCTTGATTTAGTATAGCTAAAGCTTATACATAAGGCAGGTGTGACATAGTAACTTGTGTACCAACAGAGCATCAAGTAATGCGGAATGAACACTGCGGCCCAAGGAAGCAGCAGTGGGACTTCAGAGCCAGGCTGTGTTCATGTGAACTTTTCCTAACCTCACTGCTCACATGCCTTATTCTAACAAAATCTAGTAATACAAACTGAGACCAAGAAATTCTGAACTGATGATTAGCAAAATGCAGTTTGGCTTACTGCTAAAGGTGTTTAGAAAAAAAAGTTCAGCACACATGCTACAGAACTTGGGCACTGAAAAATAAAAAACACATTTTATGGTGGCTATAGAACAAAAATTCATGTTAATAAAAGATTTGTCATTTAATATGGAAACTTTTCAATACATTCTAAGAGTATACTGGAAAGGCTAGTAATGAAAATCGGTGGTGACTATGAGATATCATACCCTGTTTTGTAAGGGCCTATAGATTGACAGAAAAATATTCTAATTTAAAAAGTCAACTATTTTACACCTTATCTGCCATTACCAATTCCATCAAGATTACTTAGATCTTTAAATGTGGATTGGTAAAAATGATACTTACAGGATTTAACCAAATAAACCAAACAAAAAAAATTAGCTAATATTTAAAGGAGTAGCCTCACAAATGTATGATTTATTTCCCTTACTGCTCATATTCTAGTTTTCTTTTTCAGCCCTTATAAACACTAGCTAGAATTGCTAAAGCATTCCTTTCTTATCCTAAGTCTTCTCTATTAATAAATACTAAATCATAACACACATGCTAACAGCATCACTTGAAACACTATTCTGACACATCTCAGGATCTGCTTCTTGGCTCTTCAAGCTGGTGGTGCTATTTTACTGATTCAGCAAATACTTGTTTTCGCTTATGATGCAACTGATCTCGTTCTTGAACAAACTATTCACAAGGTAGTAGACTGTAGCTCTCCAAAGCCTACCTCATTTCTCAAAATCATTAATAGGACTTAACCTGAACGTATAAAAACACAAAAAGGGGGTCTTCTCAGTTGAATTTTCTGATATTCACAGTTTGGAAGATTTCGAATGGTTGACCAAATTTTTAAGATCTAACTCGGCACATTTATATATTCACTAGATACCTCTGGTGAATCACAAGGATTGCCCCAGTACAAGTTCTCTCAATCTGCTCATCAGACCTAAATCCACCAATGAAACCTAGCTCTACCAATGAAAACAAACTTCAACATTTGTTTCATAATAAAAAACTATAACTTTCATACGATCAAGTTACGAGTCACACCACATAAGTTCTAAAGCAAATAAAAAAAAGTAAGCCAAATTTAGGAACTAAGCCCATGGTTTAAAGCTTAGAAGAAAAGAAAATAACATATGAGAACATATATAGTGAATATCTTGGGTCCAACATGCAACGATACCATCATGACTGTTTTGTCAGCATGACTACTGAATCAATTTCTATACTGAGAAAACATACATGTATACTACCATTTCTCTACTAAATACATATACATCTCATATATATATATCCTCGTAAGAAATACTGATTTTAAACTGTCTTTTTGACAACAATTTTGCACTGAATAACAATAGATTACAACTCACTGTTGTACATCTTAAATTCTAAGACAGTATTATAAATGTTTACACAGAGAACTAGAGTAATATGCAAGAGTACTTCCATAAAAATTGGATGAACAATGTAAAAAAGGGTTTTATAACCAAGCTGCACGGACATGAGGGGGTCTAGGTCTTAGCAAGCGTCCACTGGACGTGTCAAGAACCGATCGCTCACTCTTACAACTGAGACCACTGGTAGCACTGGATGTCCTGGAGGCTCCTCCTGAAAAGATACAAAGAAGAAATACTTGAATTATTTAAACTAAATATGTAGATCGTCATATGAGAAACTTCTTCTCCTAATTTTAAGTCCAGACTAGTTTTTCTTCCATATCCTATGTGTGCCTAATAGTCCAATGCAATGATTGTCAACCAGGAATGTACTTCAGAATTCTCCATGGAAATTAAAAATATAATAACAAACATGCTCATATTCCACACTAGGAGATTTTGATTTACTAGATTTAAAGTGGGAATAAAAGTTTTTGAAAGCTTCTCAAATAATTCAGGTGAAAAATAAAAACATTTTATAGTTTGTATAACCACATATATTTATTCAACAAATTATTTACTACACTGAAGGCACAATACTGAGTTACTAGAACAAGACCCTCTCTTAGTCATATACCAAGGAAAAATATTTGTAGAATGAATAAATGGAATTACCAGTCACTTGAGAGTTCAAGACTCACATGAGCACTGGGAAGTTGTGGCATTGTAAGTGGCTCCAACTTCCTTCAATATTAAGTATTGGCTTCTATTTTTTACATAGTTTTGAACACATACATGAAGTAACAGCACAGGCAAGTGTGTAGCCCTTCTACATGTTGCATACCCTAACACTAAATGGCCACTCCATTCCTGTATTCCTTGGCTAGGTCTGTAACTGATCACATATCAAGCACTGAGAGGTATTATAGTTGATGACTCTACAGTTTGCTAATTTTTGTATTAGTTATCCAATGAGGAAGAGAAAGCACATTTAAGTGCTGGAGGATATTAATGATAATTCTTAACTGGCCAGGGGGAATGTTTAAGCAACTTTTAAATGGTACATTTATTCAATATAAATAATAAACAATAAATATATTGAAATTAAAAGTCCCTTTTCAATTACCTAAAAAAACTACTGATATTTTCAATTGTTTTATCTCTTGGTTTCCTGTGTTGTCATTACATGCTGTAAATGAAACATGTAATTAAGTTAACTAACACAAATAAAAGGAAACCTGCCAGTAAATGGAGTACGTTCCGGAAGTTAGCATTTTTAAGCTCTGTCATAAGAACTGAAGTTGCATTAAAAAAAGAGTTATAAGATAAGTACAAAATACTTTTGAATATGCTTACTTAATGGGCTATACTGGCCAAGAGCAGATCTCACTTGTCTTGACATTGGCGATGGGTTGAGATAACCCATGTTGCGATGGTAGTCCATCAGTTGTTCTGAGCGTTTCATACCAACTGTTGGTTTCACAGCTTCAAGCCTTTTCAGTAAAGCCTTCATTAAGACAATCAATTTGAAAGTCAAAGTTAAATAGCAATAGTTTTTTAAAAGGCAAATGCTTTCTAGAACCTGAAATTTACTCAATAAAAATATTTTAAATTACTCCTGACATACCATGTGAAAATAATATTTCAAATAATATACTTTCAGAAAGATCCAAGGGTTTTTGCCTATCCTAGAGATGACCAAACCACTACAACTTAACAACTCATTAGAGGCATATCTTTCCTTTGCATCAGGTTACAATCTTAGGAAAGGTGCTGTAAATTGAAATGTATTAAACCTGATTTTCTCGTAGAAGTGACATAATGGGAGTTATGCTAAGAGCCCCGTGTTAAACCCTAGAAACAGACCACACACATATCTCAGCCACTATGAATTCTATATGTGCACATTCTAGAGCAGTGGCTTTCAACCACTTTACTCTGCAGTGGTGCCTCCAGGGCTGCAGGACACTGAGGAAAGGCCAGTGGGTAAGGTCCCAGGTCTCCCACTCCTAATTTCTACCAGCCCAGCTATGCTTTCCGGATTATCTGTTTCATATACTGAAAATTCTGCATAAAATTTACTTTATAAAAAAAAGTTTTTGCTGTTAAGAAGTTAAGAAGAACCAGTTACTATATAGAATACAAAGCTTCAAAAAGCACATATAAAGCAATGGGCCAACACAACATAGTACCCAATAACATGGTATTTTCTTTACTATAATTCATTAACAGAGTCTAATGCATGATGTTTCTAATGTTATTTGTAATTCTTTCTTGAATCAAAAGGTGAAAGAGTTTCTTTTGTTTGATTTTCACAGGCATTGTTGAGAAAGGAATATTTAGGTAGACCAAATGGCTTGGGGAACTGATCCATGGTTGTGCTTTATTATTTTCTTTATTGATTTAAACGTTCTCTGAAGCCAGCTGATCTTTATTTGAAAAGGAATGCTGACCTGCACTAAGATTCACCTTAAAAAATCAGCCTCATGAATTCAGCATAAGACAATTTTCTCTGTATAATCTTTCCTCCTTCTTCCTTTTATTGTGGTAAAATATACATAGAATTTACCCTTTAAACCATTTTTAAGCATAAAGTTCTGTGGCATTTCGTACATTCACACTGTTATGAAACATTACCAACAAACATTTCCAAAACTTTTTTCTTTTTTTAGACAGGGTCTTGCTCTATCACCAAGGCTGGAGTACTGTGGTGCAATCATAGCTCACTGCAGCCTTGAACTCCTAGGCAGCTCAAGCAATCCTCCTGCCTCAGCCTCCCCAAGTGGCTGTGACTGTAGGTGCCCACCACCACAGTGCCTGTAGTCACACCTGGATAATGCAAAAAAAATTTTTTAAAGATGGGGTCTTGCTATGTTGCCTGGGCTAGTCTTAAACTCCTGGCCTCAGGCAATCCTCTTGCCTTAGCCTCCCAGAATGCTGGGATTACAGGGTGTGAGCCACTGTGCCCAGCCTACATTTCCAAAACTTCTCAGCTTAGTGTTTTGCCCTTATCAGCATCACCTCCTGGCCCTCTATTCTGAGGTTCTAGTATCAGTGTTGATGAACAACTGCCAAGAAGGGGTAGACAGTGGGAGAATAAGCCAAAACATTCAGGGGACTAGCTGTTTGGGAAAGGGACAGGGGGCTGCCGTACAAAGCCACTGGGGCTTGGAGACCAAGGAAAGAGGTGCAAGACACAGGAGGTAGTAGACAGACCAACGAGGAGAGCTCCATTACCGTCAGCCTGACGGCTAGTCCTGCTGCAGGAAATGCCCTTCCTCAGCTTTTAGCCTTCAAAAGCTACAAAAGAGCCAATTCCTCAATGAAGTCTTACCCAACTAGTGTTGGTGGTCCTCTCTGCTGAACTGAGAGTTTTGATTTGAATATAGCTCCACTCGACTGTATGGTCTTTCTTTGTAGACAGAGAAGCTGTGCCAAAAAATCTGGCACAAATTTTTAGGTGCCAAAAATTTTATCTAAGATTTTATCATCTCTCCCTGCCATTTATAACTGTGCTGGAAACTGCCTATGTATCACATCTTCAATGTATTTTCCTGGCAGAGTAGCATTTGCTGTTTTCTCTGATTATCCTATTAACTACTCACTAAACTGTGCAGGGTGGAAAAGACAGGACAGAAAACTCGATATTTTCAGTTATCTTCTAATTTTACTTTTTTGCTAGTAGAAGTCTCAATGTTTATTAAGCTTCTAAAGTCCTAAATTTATAATATTTATTTGGTTGGATGCGTGTCTCTTTTTTAAATTTTAAGAAAACTGCAATGCTTATCATCAGATGTAAAACAACATAAAGCAATATGATCAACATCAATTTTGAAATAATTGGACCACACCCAAAAAGTAAATTTATTCTCTAGTCTGATGTCAATTACCAAGTTTGCATGCAGAAACTCAGGGAAGTAAGAGAGAAATGATTTGGCTCAGGCACCCAAATCACATGAAGCCATACCTTGTGTCTGTTTGGGTGTCATATGACTAATTAATATATAACAAGCTAAGCAAAAGCTAAAGGAAGGATTTGAGAAATAGCTAGAAATAGCTCCTGGTTATACAAAGAATATCAAATACAAAGTGTTGATATTACAGTATAAACCCTAAAATCAAAAGTATGTACTTTTAAATTTAGTCATCAATTTAGAACTCCTGGGTAAAACTTAAAAAAAAATAGTTCAAAATGCTGTTAACAATTGTAATCTAAAAAATGTAAGCTATCCAGTCAGAGAGACCTGGGCTTAAATCCTGGCTCTGCCACTGATTGTGTGTCCTTGATCAAATTACTTGATAGGGATAATAATGAAAAAAACCTCAAAGGCAAGTTTTTAATAATAAGTAAGATAATGTATATAAAGTACTTAAAACACTGCCAGGCTTCTAGTAAGGACTTATTAAAATTAACACTACCATTAACACTGCTTTGTATTATTTTTTAGTTGTTTGACACGCAACAGTATTATCTTCCCAGCTAAATCATAAACTATATGAGTTAGGGCAGTATTTTATACATTTTTAATATTCCTGCCAGTGTCTTATATAGCTCATAGCAGACATTAAACAAATACTTGTTTAATGGATTGGAAAATAGTAAGAACGATAATTTATAGTTTATAAAATCTTAGAATTGCCACTCAGATTCTAAATAATGAATATCCAATTTTTCTTAGAAATTGTTTTTGGAAATTACATATATTAAGATAAACAACTTGATGTTTTAATATATGTATGTACTATATAAAGATCACCACAATCGAGCTAGTTAATCATTCATCATCTCACATGGTACCATTTTTTATGTGTGTGATGAGAATACTGTTTTGAGATCTATCCTCTTAGCAAATTTCAAGTACACAAGGTACAAAGTTTCACTTATGCAAAATGAATAAGTTCTGGATATCTAAAGAACAGCATGATGACTATAGTTTACAATATTGTGTTGTGTACTTGTCCAAATATTTCTTTTACATCTAGGAAGTATCATTCTTTTTGGAAAGAAAATTAACCTAGCCTGCATCCTGTCCATCTTTTGATGTAGAAAAATTTAAACAAATAAACAAATTATGTGTTGTTAATTTCTGTGCCTTGCCAAAGAAAAGGGCTAGTTACAAAAAGCAAAAATAGATTTTAAAAAAAGAAAAAAATGTTTTCTGCAGCTGTTAGCAGAGAAGATCATTCCTAAAGTGATGAAGCAAAGACCTCGTAAGGACATTCAAAAGTAACATTTATCCTATGCTCAGAGAAAATCAAGATGACGGCTCTTCATATTTTTCAACAGCTGGAGTCACACTTAGTTCTCATTAGCTTTCATTCTTCCACGGAAAGAGACAATAGACAATAACCAGAGAAGAATGAAAATCATATTAAGTGAACTATAAATTATTCTAAGATCTTAGAACAAAGGTACTGATTAATCAACAGATTAATATTCATACTAGGTGTGAGATTTGCTATAAATCTTCATCTTTGTGACAATGTATTGCTCTCTCTTTAATTATTCTGTATAAGAGTTCTAAAATTACTCCTGTAGTCCAGCAGACAAAGAACAGAGGAGGGAGGATTTTATTTTCCATTTAATGTTTTTAAGAACTGTCCACTACATTTTCTAAATTCATGCATGTCTTCTTTTATTTCAAAAATAATATTTTAACACAGGGATTCCTAAGTGGAAAGATTATGGTCTACTTTATTGTCTACTTATTTGTATTTCTCTGGATTTAAAGCTAATAAACCAGGAGCAGTTGCATGTACCTATGGTCCCAGCTATTCAGGTGGCTGAATAGCTGGAGGATTACTTGAGCCCAGGAGTTTGAGTCCAGCCTGGGCAACATAGTGAGACTCTGTCTCTACAAAACAATAACAACAACAAAATTGACTAATGACTATTTTATTTACATATATAATCTTAAAAAGTAAAAAAAGAAAACAAGTTAACTCCAATTGTGCTCTAGGCTCTAATCCTGATACTACATTCCTATAGGGCTCCTACTTTGTCCCTAACTTTGCTTTAATTACTTCCCTCTCCCTGACCCCCCGCCCCGCCTTCATTCACACCTGAGGAAACTGACATGCTTATTTAAAAGAATGAAATAATTTCTTCTTAGAGGGTAAATGTGGAACCATAAACTAAGTATCATTTACTACCTATTCTGCTAAGATTATTCCTGTGCTCTTTCAGAAAAAGAAAATTCATGTTATGTTCAAATGTAGATAAAGAGATATAATTTAACAAGAATACTTCAAAATTCATACACTAAAAAATGAGTTCCCTTAATAAAGTTCTAATATAACTGAGGTTCTCTACTGGATAAAATTATCTTCTGGATAAATACGCCCTCTACTGGATAAAATTAATTTTTCTTTGGATGCGCTGTCTAATGAGAGAAAGATAATATCTGACTATTGAAACAAATAATGACAATCTCAAACCTCACCAGAAGGACAGACTGACAATATGCTTTTAACTCTGGAGGATAGGACTCAAAAATTTTTTTTTTTTTTTTTTATGAGACAGGGTCTTGCTCTGTCTCGCCCAAGCTGGAGCCTAACTTTACTTACTTATTTACTTATTTATTTATTTGTAGCAAGATGGGGTCTCGCTATGTTGCCCAGGCTAGTCTCAAACTCCTGGCCTTAAGTGATCCTCCCACCTCAGCCACACAAAGCACTGGGATTACAGGTGTGAGCCACTGCCACTGCACCCACACCCAGCCAGGACTCAATTTTATACAGTGTCTTTGCCTTCCTTCTGTATTTTCTCTGCACAGCACTGCTTTGTCTTCAATTATTTCCACCTAAATAGCCTTGAAATACTAACATGCTAATGTAAGAGTACTGGAACAGAAATGCTGTAATCATCATGCTATTAGCCACCTGAATTGGTTTCTGTCACCAGAGATGGAGTAAATGAAGGAATACAAATCATAAAAACTATAAAGTGATGGGCCTGCTTGTGCAGCACATCTGACCAGAAATAACCATAAAAGTGTGTGTGTCTGCACATATGTGTTTTGAATATAAACAGCCTAGCAAACAGATTAAAAAGCACATCAGCTCACACTGAAGAACTATTAGAGCTGATGTGGCTCTATTAAATAGGAGTTTGATATGCAGCTGGTTATAAAATAAACATTCAAAAACAGTTTACCAGAAGTAACCAGTTAGAAAAGTAAGGAAAAAATTCATGTACAATAGCATAAAAATATATAGTTTTGAAGAAAATGACAAAACCTTACTAAAGGAGAGCACAAGAAGGCTTGAATAAATGGAAATACCATACTTCTGGTGGACAGAAGGTAATATTTTAAATGTCAAACACCCCAATTAAAATGTAAATTTAACATAATTCCAATACAAATTTACAATAGGATTTTTTTTAAGTAGCAAAAATAATTAAAGTCATTATGAAGAATAAATGCAAAGGAATACCCAAAAAAAGTTTTAAGAGGGTATCAGATTAGCTTTATTTTGGTTTAGAGAATATTAAGTTAAATATAAATTAAACATAAATCTGGAAGATTAGCTTTTCTCAGAATAACATAATAAATGATGTTTTATAATAAATTATGCTTATTTTCCTGTTTAGTTTTAAGTTACTTTTTTCACTTCTGTATGAATTAGTTTTTGATTCCAGATCTGCACCGTCCAAGGCCACTAGACACATGTGGCTACAGAGCACGTAAAATGTGGCTAGTCCAAATTGAGACAGTCTGTAAGTGTAAAATACACAATGGATTTCAAAGACTGCACGAAAAAATAAAAAAATAGTAAAATATCTCATCTTTAGTATTTTATATTGATTACGTGATGAAATTATAATATTTTGGATATATTCAGCTAAATAAAATATATTATTAAAATTTCATGTTTCTTTTTACCTTTTTAAAGTGACTACTAGAAAATTTTATTTTATTTTTTGAGTCAGAGTCTCACTCTGTTGCCCCAGCTAGAATGCAGTGGAATCATCGTAGCTCACCACAACCTTGAACTCCTGGGCTGAGGCGATCCTCCTGCCTCAGCCTCCTGAGTAGCTGGGACTACAGGCATGCACCACCACGCCCAGCAAGCAAATCTGCAATTATAAATGTGGCACACATTATGTTTCAACTGTTCTAGATTGTATCAAATAAGATCTCACTATCAAATGGAGAAAAATTGTTCACAAACTACTAAGTAAACAAAGTAAAAAGAATAAAACACTACTAATTTTCCACTGTGATTAAAATAGCTGAAACGCACAACTGATTTGGGGGATAATAAAAGCTATAAGTAGAAACTACTAACAGTTTTTGCCCTATATTTATATAGAATAGCCAAGAGACATTAATGATTTCGACTTTTCAAACGTAAGCCTAGGTTCCTTAAAAAAGCTAAACACAGAATTACCATATGACCCAGCAATTCCACTCTCAGGTATATAGCCAAAAGAATTGAAAGCAGGGACATAAAGAGATGCTTGTATGCCAAAGTTTAGCGCAGCATTATTCACGATAGCCAAAAGGTGGAAACGACCCAACCATTCATCAACAGATGAATGGAAAAGCAAAATGGCACATACTTACAATGGAACATTATCTAGTCATAAAAAGCAATGAAGTTCTAATACAAGCTATAACATGGATCAACCTTGAAAACATTATGCTAAGTGAAATAAACCAGACTCAAAAAACAAATATTGTATGAGTCCACTTATATGAAGTATCTAGAATAGCCAAATTTATAGAGACAGTAGATTAGAGGTTATCAAGCATTAAGGAGAAGGGGGAATGGAGAGTTGTTTTAATAAAAGCACAGTTTCTGTATGGAGTGATGAAAAAGTTTTAGAGGTAGATGGTGGTGATGGTTGTACGACATTGTGAATGTACTTAATGCCACTGACTTGTACACTTAAAAATGGTTAAAATGGCAAAATTTATGTTATATATATTATTATTTTACTACAACTTAAAATATTAATAATATGCCCTAAACCACTGAAACGTATACTTTAAATGGTTATGTTAGATATAAATTATATCTCAATAAAGCTGTAAAACAACAAAAAATAACCCCAAAGATAGATAACCTGCATTTGAATCTGGGCTCTGCCACCTGCTGGCTGTCCTCAAGCAAGTCTTGTGTCCCACTCAGTGTCTCATTTTCTCTTCCATAACAATAGTAACTATGTCATAAGGTTACTATGAGGATTAAATGATCTAACATTTGTAAAATAGTATGCACTATGTAATTGCTTATTAAATAAAATAAGATAGGCTCCAGAGCCAGAGTGGGAGAGTAAAAGCAAAGAAAATAAATCCAAATGTTTGTGACATACAGTAATTTCAAATTTTCATAAAACATAAACGAACCTTGAATATTGCTAAGGTGATATGCAGAAACTACCATGTAACTTACCACCCATGAATGTCATTTCAACTTGCTGTTACCTACTCCTCACCACATGCAGGGTAACTCTCCTAAGGGTTTAAGACTTTACTATTTTTTGTAAATATAATACCCCAGCTCCTCAACTCCTGTAGTTAGTAATGGTGATAAAGAAATATACGAAAGAGTTGTTACAAGTTCAGGTAAGTACATAGTTAAACAGGACTATACTGTTTAACTGTTATGAAACATAATGAGGGTTAATTTTGGAAACAGTCTTAATAATTTGAATAGCTTTATAAATTATCTTAACTCTGAATTTATATGCTCATTAAGGGTCTAATTTTAGTTAAGAGATTTAGTTTAAGAGACTACCTGGGTTTAAAATCTTGGCTCAGCCACTTATTTGCCAGCTTTGTGCCCTTGGGCTAATTATTTCAGCCCTTTAGGCCTCAGTTTTTTCATATGTAGGATGTGGGTAAGAACAGTACCCACCTCAAAGAATTGTCAGGATTCAATAAACTAATATTTGGAAGATACTTAGAACAATGCCTAGTACTTAGTAAGAGCTCAGTGAATATCAGCAACTATTAGAATTGAATTTTATGAAGAAAACAATATGGTATAATAGTTTTAAATGTGAAAATTTTCAAAAGTTCTCATATTTTTTTAGAGTATCAAAGTTTAACTGTATGATTTGTAACAATCAATGTTTCATAATTCAAGTAGCGGACTACCAATCTGATCTATTCAGATGTATTCATTCTTTAAAGTAAATGATATAATATTTTAGCTTCCCAGGATACAATAAAGTGAAAGAGATTTAGCTACTGACTGAATACTTTACAGAAGATACACTGTATCTGACCTTTGGATATAAAACATATTGTATCTTTCAGACTCAGTTTATCATGTATTTCATGCCATATATATCTATACCTGCTTTTATGTAATTAAGTTTGAAAATGCAGCTGTATTTAGGTTTCCTATGAGATGGACCTACAAATCAGTACAAATCCATTTTCTTTGATGACTAAAATATTTCAGTTACTCACCAAATTTTCTCTCTCAATCCTCTGCTGTTCCCTTTGTCTGTTGAGAGCACTATGATACAACTTAGGGGGATGACCAGTTGATCTTCCAGGAACTATACTTTTGCTTCCTGGTTTTTCAGCCTGTCTTGACAGTTCTTTCAACAGCCTCTGATTTTCCCGATCAATCTGTCTCACCTCTTCTCTTGTGAAAGAATAGTTTTTCCTAGGTGCCACTGAAGGCTGATCAAAGTGATGTTTTTGTGATTCCTTTTTATCTAATTGCAGAAAAGCTACAAAGTGAACAAAAAAAGGGAAAATGGCTAAACAAAGTAGGGTGTGATAGTACATGCTTCAACCCTTAAAACATAAACTATATCAATTCACGAAAAGGTGTGTATAAAATAAGGCTAATGACATCCAGATTACAATTGCATAGGAAAAAAATTGGAAGTTAATCTTTTATGCTCTCAGTTCTTTGGGTATAAAAGTTACACACAAAACAATGAAAGTATCTTAATGAGAAATGTATGTGGTACCGGTTCTTAGGCAGGTATAATTTATGGAAAATGCCTTTGTTACATTTATCTGTTTCCGTATAGAAATTTAATAGTTGGGGAGGTTAGAAACCTCTGGGTGAGTACAATCATACAATACTTAATTTAGGTACAATTTTTGTTAATTGGAGGGCATACTTCAAAAAAAAAAAAAAAAACTGTCTTCAGGAATGACTGAGGGAAACAATGGCAAAAACAAGCTCAAAATATTCTGAAACTAACAACCTGAAAATATTCTTTTACAAAATTATAGATCTTAATACTGTCATTAAAACAAATACTTCTACTGTAAAAGTCAAACATTTTGTTCCTGATTAAACAATTATTTTAACCAATAAAAATATTTTGCACACAATTATAAAATGAAATTTTTATCAACATGCTTAAATTTCCATATTACAACAATTTTTAGTAATTACAATTTTTTTTTTTTTTTGAGACAGAGCATCTGTAAGATTTGCCGACCACAACTTTGTAACTTTCTGTTGCACTGATGCACTCTCTTTTGAGTTTCTCTCCCCAGAAACGGCAGAGCCTCCTTGCTGTCATGAGATAACTACAAAGACTTACACCACCTGCTTGTCCAGAGAAGACAAGATAAGCCATAGTCCACCACAGATTGTGCCCAAGGACCCACTGAACCTGTGCACAAGGCCGAAAGAATGAACAATATTAAGTCCTAGCTCATTATAATACTAAAATCCCCACCCTAGGAGGGACTCATCTGCCATTTTTTGATCATGGGATGTATGTACGAACATGATTTCTCACTGTGCTTGCGTGCCCTGCACTCCACCCCAAACAGGTAATGATGCTCACTCCCCTCATACATTATTCATTTCACCTCCGGAAAAACCCCTGATCCTGTAGACCTGGGAAGTGGACTTGAGGCAGTCCATATCTCCCTCCTCCCAGTGGACGTCTCCTGCCATGAATCCTTTCTCCTTTACAATCCTCATTGTCTCAGTAACTAGTTTTCTGTGTAGTGAACATGGAACCCCCCTTGTGGGTTCAATAACACTTTTCATCCCTAGTCTCTCCCAGGAGAAGATTCTCAAACCTCTCAAAGAGCTGTAACTGAGAAACCATACCTAAGGAATATCAGCTGCCCCCGGACCTGACTTAGATCCTGGATCTTGAGGTTAGGGGCATCTTAACCCTAACCTCAAGAGGGAATGTATTTTTCCATATGGGAGGAATGTGAATAAATGTGTGGCCAGAAATGAGATTGAGGAGATGTTAAGATATGTCCATAAATTATTCAACACTCCTCTCATTAAGAGGTAGGGTCTATGCTCTTTCACTTTAAATCTGGGGGGGGGGGTTATGACAATTTCAACAAATAGAGTACGGAAAAATGATGCTGTGTAACTTCTGAAGTTACGTCATAAAAGGTGATGAGGTATATGGAACCCATGTGCTTAGAACCCCGAGCCACCATGTAAGACGTCCAACTACTCTGAGGCCTCCTCCGAGGAAAATGTGAGGAAACCAGGCCACAAGGAGAGGCCACATGTGGGCCCTCTGGTCAGCATAGCTGGTCTTCAGGTTGTCCCAAGTCCGGGCACCTGACGTATAAGTAAACGAGCACTCCGATTATTCTAGGTGGTTGAATCACTCCTACCTTTGAGTCTCTCTATCCCCCAGGTGTTGGGGTAATTTGTCATGCAGCAATAGTAACCGATTATTTCTACACTTTTAAAAAAACACTGCGTGATGAACAAAATACCTGCGGGCCAAGCCAAGTACAGTCCACAAGCAGACAATTGTTTTCATTATCAATCTTTTGTGGGAACTGCGGGTTTCTCTAGTTGTTTTGCTTTTATCATGCATTTCAAATCAATGACTGTTATATCTTTTTGGTGCATTTGGCTCATTTACTAATGTAACACACCCTTTGTCCCTTTTAGTGTTTTTCATGTCTTGAATTCTATTTTGTACACTAATAGGATTGATACTTCTACGTTCTCCTTGTTAAAGAAGATATACCTGTCCTTTCTTTTTCAAGCCCTTATTTTCATTCTTCCTATACTATCTTAAATGTCTTTTTAGGTTGAATTTTATTTTACTTTTTTCCCCAATTCAACTGGCATTTATTGAGCACCTACAGTTAGCACAACAGAAACTCTATCAGAAAGGGCTAGTGTGTTGTTTTACTGTGGTAAAATACACAGAACACAAAATTTACCATCTTAACCATTTTTAAATGTACTGTTCAGTGTTCAATACATTCATAATGTGCAACCACCACCGCCATCCATCTCCATAACTCTTTTCACCTTGTAAAACTGAAACTCTGTACCCATTAAATGGTAACTCCCCATACCCCTTCCCCTACCCGCTGGCAACCACCATCCCACTTTGTCTCTATAATTTTGACTACTCTAAGTACCTTGTCTAAGTGGAATCATACAGTACTTATCTTTTTGAGACTGGCTTATTTCACTTGGCATAATGTCCTCAAGGCTCATCCATGTTGCAGCATATGTCAGAATCTCAGTCATTTTTAAGGCTAAATAATACTTCTGCTTTAAGTTTTTAATGAACTCTGATGACATCTTCTGATAAGTTAATACCATCTGATTATACTGTTTGACCACTTTTCCTGTGATCTTACTTTTTAAAAAAATACATGTTTTTTGCTATTTCTTTTTTCTTATTCTTTTCTCTTTTGGAACATTGACTAAGTTTACAAAATTTTTTTCTAAAATTTTGTAGTACTGTGAATACTAAAATCACTTATTCTAGTGTCCATTCTTCTAGAAGTTATTAAACCCTTGCTTTGGTCTGAAGATTCCTTTACACTCCTAAAGATTAAGAACCCCAAATAATGTTTATGTGGGTTACATCTATATTTACCATGCTAGAAATTAAGTGAAAAAATGTAAAGATATTTATTAATTCCTCTAAAAATAAAAATTAACCAATTAAATGTTAACATTTTTATAAAAAAAAAAATATTAGTGAGTGGTAGTCTAGCAGTTTTGCAAATCTTTTAATGCCGGCTTAGTAGAAGGCAGCCAGATTCTCATAGCTGCTTCTGCACTCTGTTGTGCTGCTACTGTCAGGTAGCCCCTGGGAAACTCCACTGTACACAGATGGCAGAAGGAGAATGTAAAAAGCAAATCAAGGCTTAGTTTTATTAGTGAAAATAGTTTTGTCCTCATAGATCCTAAAATCAAGCTTGCAAGCTTGCTCTTCAACAGTTTTAAGTACTGCATTCTTTATGAGTCTGGTGCACTCTCTGTTGATTTTAGCTTTTCTCAAATGTTTGGTAATTGTTGGTAATGGTCAGAGGGTATTGAGATTTCCCGCAGCTTGCTAGCAAAGAAAGGATAAAACGTGCTGCCAGGTAAGTCACACTAGTAGCTTTCTTCTCAGTATAGGCATCTCCTTACAGAGTACAACAGGGTCTGTACTTGAACAAGGCACTTCAATCTCTCCTGCTGGGATCATCTTAGCAAAAAATTTAACCAGTTTCTTTGCAAACCAATGCTTCCTTTATCCCATTTCTTTCTCTTATATTCATTTTTCTTCTCAAAATATATCCTGTAGTGATTATGGTTTTATTAGTCTATATGGTAAATTTTAAGGCCCTGCATTTCTAAATGTTTTCTAAATTCTGCCCTTTCAGATTCTGACCTAATTTTACCTATACGAAGTATAACACACCTTGAAATCTAATTTTTTAAATTTCTTCAATATTCCCCAAACATGTGAGATTCGTGCCATAACTTGATGTCTAAATTTCTGTTTACTACTCCATCTTCTAATGCCCTCTGTGCCTACTCAGGGATTTATAGCTCAAGGTCAAAGATCTAATTCCAACCATTCCCTTTCAACATTTACATAGCAAAGCCAGGTTTGAGGTGGCAGTGGGAAATTCCCCAAATCAGCCAGGCTTGAGCTAGAAGACCTCCTCCCCTTCTAATCACTGATCTTTGTTATAGATTAACTGCCTTCTTTATAGTCCTATACCTAATTCGAACAGATGGCACAAAAGACCCCATTGACTGTTATCATCTTCAGTGTGGAATGTTAAATATACTTTTCCTGAAAGAAAAAGACCACCTTGACTAATCAGATCTTGTAACTATGCATTAAGCCTCATATAGAAAGATGCTGAAATTCTGTTAAGCTTTCCTGAACTTTGTCTGTATAAACGATCCCAAACATTTACAATTTGGAACACGGACTCTGACTTCCATTCTTTGGAATCTGTTTCCCGGGTAAACGTCCTCAAAATTTGCACTAGAATAAACTCTCTTTAAACTAGATTCTGACCCTTTTGATTCTTTAAGGTTGAAATATCTCTTCTTAAGCCTGTGAAAAACGTTTAAATTGAGAGGACACGGAGAGTATGCTGCATCCCTTCTTCAGCTGTTCTCTGATAGGATCACATGTTGTCTATCAGTTGCCTTCCCCCACATTAAGTGAATTTACCTTCCAAGACAGTGGAAAAAGGCTGTGAAGAAATTAGGTGAACTAAAGAGGCCTAGACAAGCCCATTTAATAGAAGTTGAAAGTGATAAAGTATACTGAGAGATCAACGCAGAAAAGGCACAGGCCTGGCCATGCATACATCTCCATCTACCGTGCGGCTGAGTTATATGGGGGAAAATAAAGAAAACTTATGAAATTATTCTTGTATCTAAAAAGCTTCACTGTGTAAATCGAACTTGAATAATAATTTTGAAAAACTATAGAAATACCTTATATAATGGACTAACAGTCAA